CTAGTTGGCTTGAAGGACTTAAGTCACGGTTTCTTCCCAGAATGTAGAGCGAACTTCCAGTTGGCCCATTGGGCTGTTTTTTTGCCCTTCCGAGCTTCCGGAGGCTTTTCTGAAGCCTGGAGAGGACGAAAAATGGCCCCAACGGGCCAACCGAAAATTCAGAAATGATCCGTTTCCAGCTTCCAGAGGGGCGAGGGAGGCCGTTTTCGCCCTCCCCAGGCTTCAGAAAAGCCTCCGGGGGCTGGGGAGGGGTTGTGCGCGCATCCACAGATGAGCGGGGAGGATAGAACAGAATACATTACAAGAGAATAGGGAATGGAATAGAACAAGGAATAGAATAGAATAGAGAATAGAGAATAGAAAATAGAAAATAAAGAATAGAATAGGGAATAGGAGAGAATATAAAAAATAGAATAGAATAGAAAATAGAAAATAAAAAATAGAGAATAGAATAGGGAAGAGAATAGAATATAAAAATAGAAAATAGAATAGAATAGAATAGAATAGAATATAAAAATAGAAAATAGAATAGAATAGGAAATAGAATATAAAAAATAGAATAGAATATAAAAATAGAAAATAGAATAGAATAGGGAATAGGATAGAATATAAAAAATAGAATAGAATAGAATATAAAAATAGAAAATAGAATAGAATAGAATAGAATAGAATATAAAAATAGAAAATAGAATAGAATAGGAAATAGAATATAAAAAATAGAATAGAATATAAAAATAGAAAATAGAATAGAATAGGGAATAGGATAGAATATAAAAAATAGAATAGAAAGGAATAGAATAGAATATAAAAATAGAAAGAATAGAATAGGGAATAGGATAGAATATATAGAATAGAATAGAAAATAGAAAATAGAGAATAGAATAGGGAATAGAATATAAAAATAGAAAATAGAATAGGAAATAGGCTAGAATATAAAAAAATAGAATAGAATATAAAAATAGAAAATAGAATAGAATAGGGAATAGGATAGAATATAAAAAATAGAATAGAATAGAATATTTATTGGCCAAGTGTGATTGGACACACAAGGAATTTGTCTTTGGTGCAAATGCTCTCAGTGGACATAAGGAGAGTAAAATAGAACACGTTCATCAAGAATCATAAGATACAACACTTAGAGATAGTCAAGGTTACTAATAAGCAATCAAATCGTACTAGGAAACAAATAAAAACAATATAAATTGAAAGATACCAGCAACCTGGTTATAGCCATAAGCGGGGAGAGATAGATACTAGAAAAGAAAAGAATAGTAATACAGTCTTAGTAAATTATTAACAGTGTTGTGGGAATTAGTTGTTAAGCAGAGTGATGGCAACTTTGGACGGTCACTAAATTAACCGATTTAAGTCAAGAACTGCCTGTACATCTGAGTCCGTGGGGTTGTGGTCCACTCTGGGAAGCGTTCCAGTCTCACACTTGTCTTCCTCGGTCCTCCAGAGCTTTAAAGGACGGCCTCCCCCGACCCCGCTCTTCGGTGACGATGACGAAGACGATGACCTGGATTGGCTGGGATGAGCAGTGGAGGGAAGCTTGGATGGAGACTCACGACGGAAACATTTTGCCTGGTTGTTTTGCACAGGGGAGGGGGTGGGCTTGAGAACTGGCCGGCACTCAGGCCCCCTCTGCAAGATTCTGGGATTGCCTTGCGCCCCCCCCCCCAGGGGCCTTGAATGTCAGAGGTTTCTCCCCCTGCACTGAAGCACAAAGCAAGCCCTTTTCTGCATTAAACTCTGAAATTCAGGCTCCTGTTTCTTTGCAAGCGAGAAAGTCTTCATGGCGGTACAAGAGGAGCTGAAATGCAGCGTTGTGCATATCCGGATTTCTTCTGCGATGCACATGGGAGAATCCCAAGGGTTTTTTTCCCCTTCTTGTCCACCCCACATCTCCCCACTGGTGCTTTTGAGGATTCCCTGCTTGCGAATCTGTCTTCCCTCTATATATCAAGTAGAACAATTGGTGCCTACACGAAGGTTTAAATGGTTAGAAGGGAGCCTATTTTCAGACAGACAGAGAGAGACAGAGAGAGAGAAAGAAGAAGGGGGGATGATAGATGAAAGAGAGAGGAATGAGAGAGAGGAATGTTAGAGAAAGAAGAGGGGAATGATAGATATGAGAGAGAGAGGAATGAGAGAGAGAGAAAGATGAATGATAGAAAGAAGAGGGGGGCATGATAGGTGAAAGGAATGAGGGAGAGAGAGGAATGATAAAGAAGAGGGGAATGATAGATATGAGAGAGAGGAATGAGAGAGGAATGAGAGAGAAAGAAGAGGGGGGAGAATGATAGATGAGAGAGAGTGGAATGAGAGAGAGAGAGGAATGATAGAGAAAGAAGAGATGAGAGAGGAAAGAGAGGAATGATAGAGAGAAAGAAGAGGGGGAGAATAATAGATGAGAGATGAATGAGAGAGAGAGAGGAATGATAGAGAAAAAAGAGGGGAATGGTAGATATGAGAGGAATGAGAGAGAGAGAGGAATGATAGAAAGAAGAGAGTGGAGAATGATAGATGAGAGAGAGGAATGATAGAAAGGGGGGAATGATGAGAGGAATGAGAGAGAGAGAAAGAAGAGTGGGGAATGATAGATGAGAGAATGGTAGACAGAGCGGGGGGGAAATGATAGATGGAGTGAGAGGAATGATAGAAAGAGAAGAGGGGATGATAGATGAGAATGATAGAGACGAAGAAGAGGTGGAATGAGATGAGAGAGAGAAGTTTGATAGAAAGAGAGGGGGGAATGATTGAGAGAGAGAAGAGAGAGATGGAGTGAATGACAGCAGGATAGAAATGGCTCAAGGACTGAAAGGCAGTTTTTAGCGACAGACGAATGAATAGATTTGGAAGTTTTAATATCCGGGTGATTTTTCATCAAGTTCTCCGACTTCGTATAACCGGAAAGAGCACCTCTGCGCGTTGAGCGACTCCTTGCCTTATTGGTGAGATGGATTTTTCGATGGGCCACCTTCTCCACGTTTCGGGCCAGGTCAAAACGGCAACTGTGGGAGTGGCTCCCTCATCCCTATGCAATTTTCTCCCATTTTCCCCAAAAGGTTTCGGGCTGGAGTTCTTTACTTGCAAGCCTTTTCTTGGGGTTCAGTGTCCCCCACCTCCTTTTTTTTTTAAAGCTGGGGTGTCCGAAGAAGATTTCCACCCCCAACTGAAAAGACTGTTCAGCATTTAAGGGGAAGGGGCTACCTGGAGCAAGAGTGTGTGTTCCATTTCTAATAGGTTCAGTGTGTCAGATCTGTGGCTGGCGGGCACCCTAAATGTTTGGGGAAAATGGTATCCCCCACCCCACCCCAATAAGCCTTTTTTAATGTATGGATGGGGTCTTTTGAGTGGAAGGCAAACCAGATTAGCTGAGCCTTCGCTCTAGCGATAGCCGAGTCTTGTTTTTAAGGAGGAAGGGATGGGGAATTTCTTTCAAAGGTCGCTGTTTCTGATTGACAGCAGCACTTACAAGGAAACACCAATGGGGGGGGGGTAGGGGTTAGTCTTGGGGGATGAACACCCCTCCCCAAAACTCCCATTTCTCCGTCCCTCCCTGAAACCTTCGTCTCTTTTGTCTTTTACAACTTGGTTAACTTTTGTCGGTTCCGGATTTTCCACTTCGGATGTAGAATGTAGCACTAACTCGGCTGGGCCTTCTTCAGTTGGGCCAAATTTGCCCAACTTTCTGTCTCTCATTCTTTCTTTCTCTCTTTTTTTTTTGGTGGGGGTGGGTGGGAAGAATCAACAAATAAAAGTGCAATTAAAGGAAATGACGTCGCTACTCATCCCGGCTCTTTTAATTTTACGAGAAGGTGGGTCTGGTTGCATCCCCCGTTATTCACGGTTAATGTTTTGTGTTGAGTTTACAGTTATGGCTGCGAAATAGCAATAGCAATAGCAGTTAGACTTATATGCCGCTTCATAGGGCTTTCAGCCCTCTCTAAGCGGTTTACAGAGTCAGCATATCGCCCCCACAGTCTGGGTCCCTCATTTCACCCACCTCGGAAGGATGGAAGGCTGAGTCAACCTTGAGCCGGTGAGATTTGAACCGCTGAACTGCAGATAACAGTCAGTCAGCTGAAGTGGCTTGCAGTACTGCACCCTAACCACTGCGCCACCTCGGCTCTGTATTTATCTTGCAATATACCTCAAAGACCGACTAAATTGTCTTTTATTATCTTTTAGACTCG